GTGTTTTAAAAGTGTGGGAAAGGTTTATAGGAGTATAGGAAGGGTTTATGAAGCCTTAATATATATAAAAATACTAAATTATAACGTTGCTACTTTGCTGATTTTCACTTATCATGGAGGTGTCTGAAACATAACTTCCGTGATAAGTGAGGGACTACTATATAAAACAGGTGTGGTGCAGGCCTGTAATCTCAGCACTTGGGCAGCTGAGGTAAGAGGACAGTCACAAGTTCAAGGCCAGCGTGGACTACATGGTGAGTTCAAGGTCAGCATGAACTACATAGGAAGACCCTGTCTCCAAAAACAAAACGAAACACAACACCTAGGAAAGACAATATACAAAAAAAAAAAAAAAAAAGGAAAGACAATATACATACATAGGTAAAACTTGAAAATAAGTATACATATCTCTAAATTTTAGAAATAAACATCAAAATATATGCAACTATTTGAAATATATACATATATTAATATTTTTTCTACTATTTAGATCTTTTCAGCCAGTTTAGTTTATTTCTTAAAATGTCTTTAAAAAACTCACATCATCTCCTTTAGTTAGTTTTTCTTTCATTCTCTGGGCCCTTTTTTCAAATTCTGTTGTTACACTATAGTCAACTGGCCCCTTAGCAGGCATTGGTCCAACAATGTCTTCATCTTCACTGCTATCTGTTTCCTTCTAAAACAAGACATTACCTTTAATCCAAGAGAGAGTTATGAGTTACACAAGAATGATCCCAATTTACTTAAATTTAATTGAAAGGGATTACCCATAGACAATAAAACAACAACAAATAAACAATATATTTATTGTTGGCTTTTCACTGAACAATGAATACCCTTTTCCTGCCTTGAGTGCATGGTAGACAACAAATCCACAGCATACAGACTGTCACATCTTTTTTGTATGCTATGGCAGTTATTATTAAATTATTGTAGCTTTCCTCCTGCTAAACACAGATGTGGTCTTGGAGTTCTCAACACAGAATTCCTGGTAATTATTACCAATTGGGCACTGATTACACATTTGAAAATAATTCTGTTAGACCAAAATCTGACCCTATGGACAGAGAGTCTAGTGGAAAGAGGATAAAAAACAAATAGAACTCGTAAAGTCAATGGTATCTTTAGGGGTGATAAATACTATGGAGAAAACTAAAGGAAGGAGCTAACAGTAAAAGAAAGAACAAATTTAGGTTAGGAGGTTAGAGATGAACTCATTGGGAAGGTGATATTCTAGCACCACCCCCAAGGCCTTAAGGTCTTAGAGGTCAGCCATGTAGACATCTAGCAGAAGATCATTTTGGACAGACTTGAATGGCAGGCATAAGAGTTCAGTGGTAGAAGCTGGCCGGGTGTATTTGCAGAGGAACAGCAAAAAGCCCAGTGTGGTTGTACTACAGCAACTACAGCAAAAGAAAAAATCAGTGCTAATGGAGATCAGACTGTATATGGCTCTGTAAAGACTGAATTTTTTGGAGATGATGCTTTTGAGGATTACAAACATGATCTGACTTAGTCTCATGCAGACCATTCCAGCGGCTATGATAAGAAGAGGCAGAAGGAAGCAAGGGCTAACTGAAGTCTGAAGACCAATCAAATAGATGGAATATGAGGTCAATTGGGCTGGGGTGGGCCCAGAGTGGTAGGACTGGATGCCTGTCAAAGGAAATGAACAAGAATTTGTTGACAGACTCATGTCTATGACTATCTGCCTCCCATATTGCAGGTGCTCTAGAAACACTTGTCGAGAGTGAGTAACAATTCTGATGTTAACGCTCTTAAGCACTTCACCATGTCTACTTTCAGCAAGCTCAGTGTAACCACTGAATTCTCAGTGATGAGCTGGGGTCTCTTGATTGTATCAATTCACTTGTAGAAAGGTACTGCAGCATAATGGACTATGCACTTTAAAGTCATAAAAACTGTGTGAGCAATCGTTCTAGTAATTAAAAACTATAAATTTGGCTATGATACCCTTTTCTTTTAGTCTTTTGCATCTGTAACATTCAAGTATTATGTATTTTATGAGGCTTTGGAGAAGATGAAAATAAGACCTATCCATGGAGAAAGTATACTTCAAATGGTACTCTATAAATCTCAGCTACTATTTTTTTAAAAAATGTATTTAGTGCAGGGTCTACAGGGTCTCACTACACAGATCAGACTCGTAGTGATCCTCCTGTTTTCAGCCTCCCAAGCACTGGGACTATAGGTATGCTACCACACCCAGTCTTATTCACCCTCTCAGCACACCCCAGGGGCGGGGTCGGCATGGCATGCTAGAGATTGAACCCTGGTCCCTGCATCTGCCTAAGCAGGTGCTTTAGTCTGCTGAGCTATCTGGCTGGTCCTTTCTCAGCTACTATCAAGGAAGAAAATAGTCTTTATCTTTTACTCCAAAATCGTTTTATCTATCTT